TTTAATGGTACACACAGCTGAGGCTGTTTGACTAAGTCAAGTTGTGTTAGGTGAAGCAGGGAAATCAAGGGACATGCTATTTCTCTGCTAGCAACTACTGCTGCTAGGTTATGACCCTGTGTTCTTTCAGCTGGAACAAGTGAAGGGGCATATGGGCATACATGACAAGGCACTTAAAAGTGGGTGACCTGCCCTGGCCAGCCACGGTGAGCAGAGTTTAGTGGCTCCTATAGATCCCAAAAGTATGGTCTTGCCATGTGTCAGTGTTGTGTTGGTGGTGGGATGGCATAGTTTGTGACCTGTAGCAAGCCTGGCTGAAGTCTTACCTGGTTCCCTGACAATGCCACTGCTGCTAGTCTTTGAGCCACACCCAGAACCACTGTGGAGGGTGGACCCTGCTCCTTTCTCCTCAGCTTACCCCTGGCAGCCAGATGTAGCACTCCACATGAACATGAACTGCTATAGAATAAATGACTTAAGGAGAAAACGGTAATGGGGAAGTTTAAAACAGAGTTCTCAGTGCAGAGTAAAGTGACAGGAAGAAGGTGCTTCCACATCCTGTGTCAGCCCCTTGTCTTCGTGTTGGAGACACTTGTAGAACCTCCAGGAAGGGAGGTGCAGGTGGGTTTTCTGAGCAGTCACTAAGCTGTGTGATCAGGGGACAGCATACAGGGCAGCTGGCCTGTAATCAAAGAAGGGCTGCCCTCGGTCTGTGACCTGTGATTCTTCACTCTCATCGTGTAAGCCGAGAGTCGTTGTTCTGTTTAATCAGATGACAAAGGGACACTTTTTCCAGATGAAAATTGGGTGTCTATTGAAACTGCGAGTTTGGGGGTGGGTTCCCACTCGGTGGACCAGCACTAGGCTTGCTGCTTGTGGCCCTTGCTGGGCCCTAACACCACATACTCAACTGAAAGTGCCAAACTTCTACAACTTTAATATTGCTGTAAGGTTGTTGCTTTCCTGGTAAGCTGGACTTTAAAACATAGCCCAGTGACCACTAGCTGCGTTCGCTCTTCCTGAAACCACTGTCCTTGTCTCCTCCTTCCTTCAAAGTTTCAGAGTCTACTGGCTTCCTGACGTGCTGGAGTTATATTGGATACATTGGGTTTTTTTAATTTTTAGAATTATATTTAGAGAGAGTGTGATGGCATGTGTACAAATCAGAGACAGTTTTCAAGTGTTGTTCCTTTCCTTCCACCCAGAGACCTGGGGTCAGACTCGGGTCGTCGGGCTTTGAGACGGTACTTTCCCCACTTAGCCACCTCACAGACGGCTCTCGGCTGTTTCTGCCGTTCTCCCTCTCATCCATCATGGGCTCGGTATAAACTTTCACTTCCAGGGCCCTGTGGCAGTACACACCTTTAATTCCAGCATTAGTTAATAATTAAGTAAACATTATAAGATAGATTCATGTCCTCCTTGAAACATGTCCACCCTGCGCCCCCATCATGGCTCACTGTGGTAGCCACCCCATGTTTCCCTGTTTCATGCGTTGCTACAGGCAACAGGGAGCAGGGCATCGGGCGCTCTCTCCTTTCCCTGTGGCACAGCCTGTGCCTGTACTTCGGTGAGAGCTGTTCTTTGTGCTTCCCTGTCAGGAAGTGAAGTAGGTGAACAATGAGGAAAAGCCCAAGGAACCCAGACAGGAGACTGTTCCCCACTGACAAGATCCCCCAGACCTAAGCTGACCCAGGAAATGTGAGGATCTGCAGGGGTGTTCCACTACGTCCCAAATGCCAGTTGGGAAACTCTGGGCCCAGTTAATGAGCCAGGCTTTAAACACAAGCCCAGGCCCACCTGCTAAGTCCTTTTACTTGCATTGGGTCTTATTCTCAACAGAAAAATGAAAAGATACTATGTATACTCTCAAATATACTTTATTAAGTCCTTTTACTTGCATTGGGTCTTATTCTCAACAGAAAAATGAAGAGATACTATGTATACTCTCAAATATACTTTATTAATTTTAAGAGTTGGTCATGTTGTTGTTTTGTTGTTGTCATTGTGGGAGACAAAGGATGCTGTTTTCCATCTATCCTGTTGGCAATTTTTGCTCTGGTTTTGCTTCAATTTTAGGGTCAATCCACAGTGTTAATGTAGATTAAGGAGGTGGGCACTCTTCTATCCCACTGGTGGGAGTGACAGCTGTGCAGTCGGCAGCACGTGTCATATCAGGCACCTCTAAAATGTGCATGTCAACAGCAGAGCCTAGTGGCTCTAAAACAACAGAATAGTGCATACCATCTAGCTCAGCAGGTTCCTATCTAGGAGTTTCTCCTGCTTGGAGCCATGAGCAGAAGTCTCCATAGGAAATCCATCCGTTTTAAAACGGTAAAAACATTGTGCCCAGAAAGGGCATGTTGATTAAGTTAACTGGCATATATGCACAGAATAAGCCCCCTCTGTAGCTGTCTCCGATGATGCAAACCAAGTAGGGACATGGGGAACCTGAAGATTTATGGAAGTTAAGGAAGTAGCAAAACCTTTATTGAGTGTGTCTTTACCTTTAAAGTAACTGTAGCACAGGGAAGACCAGAGGGTAGTAAACCATATCTGTCTCAGGATCATTTAGAATTTCTTCTTTTTTTATCTTTATAGTTGCAGATTTTCCGAACTGAATGTGTTTTACGCTTACAATAAGGATTTTAGCAAAAGTGAAACACAACAGGATAATGAGCCTGAGGACTCTGGAGCTTGCCACTTGGGGCACTCTCTCCTGGTGCTGGGCTTCCCAGGGCATGCTGGATAAATATCTTCATCCTTGTTTGTGCAGCCTGTCAGCCTACTTGGTTTTCACTCATGCCCCTGAGCACATTGATTTAAATGCCAAGATCAAGCCTCCTGATTTTCTGTGATTCTAACACAGGTCAGAAACTAAACTTCCACCCCCAATTGCCTATCTCAATAAATTAAATTCATGTGTGCGTCTCTGAAAGGGCTTTTCATAGCACTAACACCCGGAATCCAACTGCTTCCCGGCCGGCCCTTGGCGAAGGGAACAACCCTCTTCTTCTTCCAAAAAAAAAAAAACAAGGACCAATTCAGGAAAAATAAATATGTTTATGAGCCACATTTTTCCCCACTCCAAATAAAGCTAGCCTTTTGGAGTCTCATGTCTAAGAAGGCCTGTTCTCACAACCTGGTAACTTCCTTACTGAAAGAACAACAGTTCAGTGCTTACCTAGTTGTTATGGCTTCCGTTCTCCTTTCTGGGCATGTGTGATAACACCTAGACAGCTTCCTAATCTTCCATCTGGAGAATTCCAGACGGTTCCAGGTCAGCCAGTGCCTGTCCCAGCGGCTAGGAGCTCTCAGTTCTCTTGCTGAGGACCCTGGTTCAGTTCCCAGCAGCCACATGGTTCACAGCCATCTCCAGTTCCAGGGGATCTGACTCTTCTGTCCTCTTCAAGTACCTGTGCACACATAAAAGAAAGACTGAAAGTGACAGATTAGGGAGGAAAACGAGTAAAAGCGAAGTGCAGAGAATGCTGTCCCCATTGTTGGGAGCTAAAGGTGGGCAAGTAAGTTCAAGGTCACACAAGACACAGGCTAGGGATCAAGTCTCTCCAAGTGCTGCAGTAGTAAATCATTCAGGCCCTTTCCCAGCAGAAGCAGAAACAGTAGCTATGTCACAGATAGGGGAATTCTTGGGGTGGGAGTGATGAAAGGACAAGATGGATGAAAGACTCAGGGTGCCCAAGTGTTTCAGAAGTCATTGGCAGTGGTTTCCAGACAGGTGGCCAGGAGACAGGTGGGTGCAGATGCACTCAGATCTTAGTGATAGCCATGGTTCTTCCATTACCTTGTGATGGCCACATGCCCGTGTGTGTTCTCACTTTCCTCAGAACCCTGTTCTGTTCTGTTCTACCTTCCAGGCAGGGCAGAACACAGCCCCTGGGTGGAAAGAGGGCCAGCTAAGCGAGAGTCAGAGTGGAAATTTTTACCTAGTGCCCTAGCTCTGTGGCCCTGGTATCACATGACATTTGAGCTGCTGGGCCGTCCTGCTCCTCCACTCCCATCTCCTCTGGGGTTGGAAGAGGGTGAGTTCAAATTCAACATCATTCTGCAAGTTAGTCCTTCTGAGAGGGCCCAACTCACAGTTCAGAGCACCTCTCATCAGTGAAAGCCTTGGCAACAGAAGGGTGTTATCTCAAGTCATTGCCTCCCTTAGAGAAATGACATTTTTAAAACCAGAACCCCCCCCCAAAAGTCTGCTACTTGGTGACTGGGACTTCTCATGAAATATTATGGGACCCTATAATTGAGTAAGTCTGGGACACTGCACACATGGTTTTCTTGGGGGTTGCTTTTTGTAGAGAAAGCACAGTCTTGAGTAACCTACATTGATTCTAAGAAAAAATAACACATGTATGTAAGCAGGAACTGGGAGGTCATACTTTTCTAGACTCAAAAAGTCTTTCACACTGTAAAGTGTCCTTTTACATACGTAACCCTCTGTGACCCGCCATTGATAGTCATAGCCACAAACCAAGTTACATCATTGGCAGTTTGCACCAGCCCCCTGGTGTTGCTTGTCACAGGACTGTAGGGCCTTAAGCCTGGAATGTACTGAAGATCGCATGGCGCTTATTCCCTGGAGCAGACATTGCTGTTTGATGTCATTGATTTGGTGACACTAAAGTGAAACAAATGAATAGAATGGCTTCCAGAAGGGATCCTGCTTTTGTCCAAAACTTGTATTATTGTTTGAGTCTGTCCCGTATTTAGCAACAGTTAGAATAGAGCCCCGAAGTGTAGCCCTGTATAAGCCCTCACTTCAACCCTTGAAGAGATGAGTGACAGAAACCTGCAGATGAGGAGTGCAGGGGGTTCCACCTCCATGAGTTTCTTTACAGTCTCAGAAAGACTTCCCACAACTGTGAAGAAGGGCCCGCCCGTCACCCTCAGTGGATTTGAGGATGCTGGCTCCTCATTAGCGCGGGCTCTGATCCAGAGCCACATGGAACATGTTCACTATGTCCTCTGCTCTCTTGCAGCCCATTGCTAGCTGTGTGTTTTGCCACCTGTTGTGCTGTGCCAGGAGTGGCCCTTCTGACCTGGGGAGTGAATCCACTCACGGGGGCTCTGGGCATCTTCAACATTTTCCTGTATACCTGTTGTTACACACCTCTGAAGAGGATCAGCATTGCCAACACCTGGGTGGGAGCCGTGGTTGGAGCCATCCCACCTGTCATGGGCTGGACAGCCGCAACCGGAAGCCTTGATGCTGGTGAGTGTCTCCAGGTGCAACACTTTGGCTTTCCTCCACAGACAGGGTTAGGAGTGCGGGATGGAAGAGCTCGGATCCTCCAGGTGAACCCAGCACTCGACAGCCAGGGGCTACATGGAGCTTGCTGTGTTTCCATTTTACTCTGATGACTGGTTCTTAGGGCAGATGTGTTGATGAGGCAGTCCTGAGCTGCAGGGGCCCCATGTCACCCTGATATGGTAGACATAGGGAAGGCCTAAGAGAAAACAGCAGGCCTGTGACTGCAGGTAAAGTGAAGAAAGGCCCTGAAAACAGTGGTGAAATCAGATCACATGAAGACTGGCAGATTTGTTTGGGAAGGCCAGTCTGTGGGGAAGGGATGTGGAACTGGCCTCCCTGGCCCCTGTTAAAGCTATGTTACCTAGCTGACAAGCCTCCTTCCTGCTCCTGGAAGAGGCTCATTTTCCCTTGTGAAAGGACAGATTATCTTCATTAGCTCCTCGTTTACTTTTACATGATTTGCTTAAATTGTTCCTGCTGTCTACAGAAAAACCATTCAGCAGGTCTCCATTTTTTGGTGGTATGTCACAGCTGGATTTGTGGGGTGAAAATAGCTCATTTTACCATCTGTGAGGGGAGTGTCCCAGTCTGATTAGTCAAGTAATTAGTGTTTTGACCGACACTTAGGAAGGAAGTGGTGAGGTTTCCTGCAATATATGTAAGTACATATTTTTCACATGAGAGATCAAAAGGCAGTTGGCCATAAACCGTTGCCCTGTAAGCCACATTTCTGAAACTTTTCATAAAAGCTCATACACTCTGATTTGGCAAACGCACAAATGTGATTACACCTTTGCCACTATCGTCTCCTAGAATGGTTTTAATATCCTGTAAGTGGTGGGTTTTAATGAATATACAAATACAGCATTCTAAAGCGTATGTGCTCCTGTGCTCTGTGATAAACTAAGCTCCAGCCTCATCCACGTGGGAGGCAGCAGAAGCAAAGGGCTTCAGAGCCAGAGCTGAGCCTCTGTTTGCTGCTGACCTGAGACCTGAGCTTAACCTTTCTCCCAGGTTTCTCATCTCCCACTTGTAGCTGATGACCATCTGTCCTTGCGGAGGACAAGTGGGTTGTTACTTTAGTCTGACCTGTGCTGCCACACCAAATTAGGGCATTGTTTGTTTGTTTGTCAAGACAGGGTTTCTCTGTGGCCTTGGAGCCTGTCCTGGAACTCGCTGTGTAGACCAGGCTGGCCTTGAACTCATAGAGACCCTCCTCTGCCTCCCGAGTGCTGGGATTAAAGGCATGCGCCACCACCGCCCAGCCAGATTAGGTCATTTATATGAGAAAGAAATTTATCTCATACAGTTATAGGAGCTAGGACATCCAAAGTTAAGAGCCAACAACTGGGTCATTAGGTAAATGCATTTGCCATCAAGCCTGGTGACCTGAGTTTGATGTGGTCTTTCTATAACCTAAAATTTAATTGTATACAGACTTATTAATGATGGGTGGCCGAGGGGCCAGACATACCTTGTTCACAGACTATGCAGCTGTCTAGAAAATGATAGAGAACCCAGTATGAAACAGAAGATTTCTGAAACAACCAGAAGTTCCCCTGTCAGCTCTCAACGCTGACTTCTGTTCTTTGTCTGGGAATCTTGTAACCCCACTGCTCAGGGGGCTGGGGAAGAAGGACAAGTCTGAGGCCAGCCTTAGCGGAACATTTTCAAAAAGGCAAAAGATGCCTCATGTACCTAGCTAGCTCCTAAGGAGTTTGTACAGAAAAGGTATCAACAGCTCTATATATGAAAGTTCACAGTGTTTGTCCGACACAGCCAAGATCAAAATAAACAACTCAATGAGGAGTCATCTTCTCTTTCAGAAGATGGAATCTAAGAGAACATGTTATAAAAATCTATTGCTGGCATTTTAGGAGCTAAGTTAAATATAAGTTAATGCACCTGAGTCATCTTCTAGAACTGCGCTGTTTGGGATGGTAGTGACTAACCATGGGTGGTGATTTAATTTTTAAACCAAATCAACTAGAATTTCCTCAGTCTCACTAGCTGTCATTCAGGTGTCCAGGACCACAATACTGAACAGCACAGAGCAGAATCTTTTATTAAAGGCTTGGACTTGACATGTCCCTTAAAGTGCTTAAGATTGAAGGCTTGGTCCCCAGTGGGCAGCAACATGGCAATGTGGTGGGGGCTTTGAGAGCAAGTGGAGCAGATTTGGATAAAGTGGGTCATTGAGAATACATCCTTGCAGGGGCCAGGCCCTTGTTTTTCCTTCTGGCTGCTCTAAGTGAGCAGCCTCCCATGCCGCACGCCTCCTGCCCTGACACACTGCTGAGGGCCCGAAGTGACTGGGCAGACTCTGGTCTAAATTATGAGCTGTGACGTTACCTTTTGTCTATCTTCAATGTTTGTCACATCAATATGAAGGTAACACAGTTTCCATCAGTAGGAAGATCACTCAGAGAGCACTTCCTAGGTACAAAGACTGTCTTTCTGAAGCTGTGTCCACTCCTTCCTGCGTGTCCTTTTAACAATGGGAGCAGTATGGATGTGTTCCTGTCTTGCTAAACCAAAGCACTAATTCACAGGCTCAGTGCCCATCCATTTTTCCCAGATGCTGCTGGGCTTCTGGGCATGTGGCTCCAACAGTCTGAGAATGTCACATGTACCAAGTTTCCAGGTGCTGCTCATGTCCCTGCTCCAGGAACCACACTCTTCAAATTCACAAAAGACAGGATCCTGAAGAGCCCCAGCCCCCCCCCCCAGGGCCTCAGAAATATCTAGAGCCGGATGTTGATGATTGTTTGAGATGTCTGAACAGTGGTGTGTGTGTGTGTGTGTGTTGTCAACAGAGGTTGACAACCGCCAGTGTTCTCATCTTGGGAGATATAGATAGATGAGTGGGAAAAGGCATTTCTGAGGGGGAAGAAATGGCAGGCGCTTCCCTTTCTTCTGTAGTACTCCAGACCATTTCATCTTGGAACCTCCCAAAGTAGTGACATTAGAGAAGTCGGGAGTGGCAGGCTTGGAACACCACACTGAACTCTAAGTGACAGGAAGAGGAATGAGGAGGTGAAGTGGGCGTCGAGCCAATGAAGTGAGGGCAGCTGGGAGACTGCTCGCCCAGCTGCAGTCAGCTGCAGTCCAGACCAGGCAGTGCCAGGCTACCATCTTAGCAAACCAGTGCCCATAGTCACTTCATTGTTCAGGTGTCTACTGTGTGCTTGGCTTTGAGAGATACAAAACTGACTGAAACTCCCATCCTCATGGGAATCATGTCTGAGCTTCTCCTAGGAGAGGCAGACAGACATTACTTAGTGACACAGGCCTCAGCAGAGTGTCTTCTGAGGGCATGACTCAGCATACCTCCCCAGGTGAGCTCAGGGAGACGTTAGAGGCCAGTTGACTTGAAGGATTGTGAGTGTGTTAGTTGAGAGCTGGAGTGATGCAGATGGGACCCACAGTGACTACCTGCAAAGGAATTGATGGTGCAGAGATAGTGGAGACCTGTCGGCAGCTGGACCAGCAGAGACCCGGGGTTATTTACATAGTGACATGCAGCAGGTTCTCCTGCGGTGCTGGGGTGCTGGAAACTAGAGAGTTTATAGACCTGCCTTCACTACTTCCTAGGCCCATATGCCTTCTCTCACCTCCAACATCCTCAGCTTCACACTGTCTGTCTGCCCTTTCTTACAAGGCTCTACTCACCGTCCAAAGCCTGCCCTTCATCCTCCCTGGTTAGTATTTCATCTTACGGGTATTTTAGTGAAGCATCAGTCTGATCACCCTTTGAAAGAGCAATTTGTTAATGGCAACAAGTTGGGAATTGACCAAGGCTGTTTGAAGGGAGGCAGATTGACTGAATATTTTCCATTCTTTGTCTTCCACCCCCACCCCTCTGAGAACCAGTGCCCACAGTAACCAGCAGCAACATTTTAGTGTCCCTGACCATGTCTCTGCAAAAGATTAGTTGGTCTTTGTAGATAGAGGTCAAGATTGCAGAGGAAGTTACTAGGCGGTATATGAAGTGTAAGGCCTGTGACCCTACCTGGAGGGAGTACATGAAGGAGACTGCGGGTGTGGGGAGCCTGTGTGTCACAGTAACCCACAGAGAAAGGGTGAGGACCGTGTCCCAAAGCCTACTTCCTCTCTTGTTGGCATGGATTTTTCTGTAGTTTCTGTGCTGGCCACAGGGCTGGGTGATGCCCTTCATAGGCTACCAGGCACTGAAGTGCTTTCCTGGCCTCCCCCCTCACCTATAAGGACAAGAAACATGGGAGGAGCATGTGCCATGGGATGCTGATGCTTTTCCCACAACTACTTTGATTTTTTTTGGTGGGGGGGGGCAGATGGTGGAAAAGAATTTGTGTTGAGGGTATCTCAGTCAGGAAGGTCCCTGGCGGGCTTTGGATCTGCCCGGCCGTTGTCCATCACAGGACAAGTGAGGTAGGATTTGGGGGTGGTGAAGAGGATTAAGCACATTAGCAGGCAGGAATCGTGAAAGCTAAACAAACGTCAGTTGTTCTTGATCCTTGCTATTTTATAGCTGCTCGGAGGACTGGAAACCACTCAGCTCTCTCCCAGTCACACGGCCAGCGCCTTTGTTTGTAGCTGTCATATCAAGGCAGTCAGGGTGCAGCAGCCAACTGCTTCTGTGTGCTCGGGAAATGCCTGCCTTTACAAAGCCCGTCTGTCTACAGACTGAGCCATTGTGATGGGATTTTACCTGTGCCTGTTCTCCCGGGGCTTGAGAGGTGGCCTTTTCCTTCCACCTATCTAATTGTCCTATCTTTATTTTATTAATTTTTTTAAAGCTTAAGTACTGTTAGCAGGAAACATGAAAAAGATGTTGTACAGCTAGAACTTAGGAAGGCCGTGGCCGCTGGTGGAGCTAACCTGCTGCCTTGCCTTAAGAGCTGAAGCACTTGGTTTGGTCCCACACACAGAGGAGCAGGGATGCCAGTGACAGAAGTGACCTGCTGGGACCCCATGGAAGG